GCATAGGAAAATGAGCTAAAGTTTGGAAGCAACTGTTGATACCTTCACTCTTTGGTTAGGTTCTGGGGCTGACCCCTCCCAATCTGAATGGGTCTGCAAAGACCATCACAGCAAGACATGCCGACCCTTTAGCAATACTGCTTTCTGCTGGCTACAGGCACAGGGGGACGGGGGTGTTCAGAAATATCCCAAGTGCAGAAGGGCAGTCATGTGATGCTGACTGCCACTTCTGTGGGTAACCTGGAAGGCCAGGCCATGTGCTACGGAAGCATTCAAAACAGTGGGACAGGAAGACGGTCTGAAGGCCTTGCTGGAGGAATTTAAGCAAGTGTGGGCAGCCACTGCTGTGTCCCGCAGTGTAGCATTTGAGATGGCTCCGAGGTGTAACTCTGTGGTTCCGTTGATTATGGAACATGGCCCAAGAGTTGGGGAGGAAGGAAGCGAGGTTAGCCATGGAAACAGATTCTAGAAAGGACTGTTGGAAGAAACGAAGGTGGAAGGAGACAAGAGGAACCTACACAAAATGCCCGGGAGTCAGGGCTCTGCAAGCTTGTAGAAATCTTTGGCTGCTGGCTGTGAGTTGCCATTTCCTAAATTGCTTGCCAAGCTACCCAGAGTTCTTCCTTAGTGACCAGGAGTCAAAAGACAACTACACCTGTTCCACGCACTGCATAAGCTGAGGAAGCGGAGAGAAGGCCGGCAGCACCAGCCTGAACTTCCTGCAAACCTTGGAGGAGCAGCCGGGGGAGGGCTCCCTTGGCAGAGCCAGCGGTGCCATTTGGGGGAAGCACCAGACAAAATATGGCAGGCAGTGCTCTAAATGCCAGGCAAAGGCCTGCCTGCTTTTGAGACAGAGACAGATTGTTATCAAAACATGAAATGCATGTTTAACAAGCAACTGGAGGAAACCAGAAACCAACTGAAACTACAAGAAAACATAAATAAACTTCAAATATGAAGATACTTCAGAGGAACAATTCTACCCATAAATACAAATAGGTACACAGCCTATCAATTTATCTATCATATTTTTAGGCTGCCCTTAACCCATCCAGGCAATTTTTACAATTCCCATACCAAAGGTATCACTTCCCAAAGAAGAAATTGTTTCTTAAAGTTCAATGGACCTTGGGGGATCTGACGTTTGAAACCAGTTTGGAGAAAGAATTCCCAAATTTGACCCAGCTTCTCCACCTTGTTTGCTGCTGCTGCTGCTCCTGGAAGGCCTGGGCCTTCATGTCTGTGATATCCTTCTGACTGGGCTTCTGGCAACAATATTCCTTAAAAACAAAGACCTGGTTAACTCGTCTCTCAATATGTGCTTGTCAGAGTTCACCCCTTGAGCTCTATCCACCCGATTTCATGCTTTCTTGCTATATCGGGGTCATCTCTTTGGGGGATGGGATGGGGGTACAGAGGAGCCATCCATGTCTCTTTCCCACAATCATGTGGAATGATGCCAGCGTGCAGGCACGGGGACACAATTCCTGGGCTGGCGCCTGGCCATTCTGTTTTGTCATTCAGAGTGTTCCTATCCCGTCCTGCCCCAGCCGTGATGAATGGGTGCCCTCCAGAGGCGCCAGATCACCTGTTCTCCATTTGCAGGCGGCATGGCCAGCGCCTCTGGAAGGCATCAGCTGGGAACCACTGAGCAGAGCGTGCAGGCCCTGCCTGGGCCATTGCCAGGCTGCCCCGGCCGCTCCACCCCTCAGTCACCGGGCCCGATACCCAGGCAGGGTCGGTCAGAGGCTTTTTGTGATGGCCAGGCCAGGCCCCTCCCCTCCCCTCCCATGCGGAAAGGCTGACCAGACTGGCCTTTGAATCATGCTGCCTCCCACCCCTCCCGGAGCAGCAGGCCAGCTTGGGGGCTCAGTGCAGCCCTCCAACCCCGAGCTGCGTGTCCCTCCCTCGGCCTCTTGGGAGAGGCAGCGGGCAGCCTTCAGCCCTCCCAAGCCTCTGGGGAGATTTCGCGAGTTCATGCAAAACCCCGAGCCTGTGCGGGTAAGATGGGGACCGAAGGTTCCCCATCCTGACCTACAGCTTGAAGGGGGTTGTTCCGCTTAAACCCGTAGGTGTGTTGCGCGCGGCAGCTCAGGAGCGCACGATCTGCAGTAGCCACAGCCGCAAGCAACACACAGGCGGCCTTGCAGAGTCAGCACGGCGGACCACCCTCGACACCGGGTTGATAGCGATCCGAGCAGCCTTTCCCAACTTGCAGCTGTGTGGACTACAGATCCCAACGCTCCAACTGCCAGCCCGGAGGTGGGAAATACAGTCCAAGCAGGCAGAGGGCACCAGCTCAGGGAAGGCAGCCTCGGAGCACTGAGCCGCGCGTGCGCACTGAGCAGAACACGGCAGATGGGGCAGGGGTGCTGGCCAGGAGCCACAGCGCAGCCCCGGTTCCTCGTCATTCCCGAACAGCCTCCCTCGGCCTGGCCGGGGCCAGGGGAGCTGCAGCCCCACCTCTGTCCAGCCACGGAGTGCCCTGCCGCCGCCCCGCTCCCCGGGCTTCAAGTGGCCCAGAGCATTCTTGGACTGGAAAAGGGGCCTGCAAGCACTGCCTGCTCCCATGGGGCGGGGCTCTTGTCCCCCTGGACCAAACTCCAGCCTCCCCGGGGTTTCCCGCTTCTCCCACGTCAGAACTGAGGCTCGGCGTGCTGGAGGTGGCTAGTCCCATCCTCAGATGCCTCCAGGGACAAGTTGTTTTGCTCATGGACTGGCTCCTCAGCAACTGCTGCTGGGAAGAGGGGCATTTTCGCCTCCCCCCCAGCTGCTCAGATTGAGAGGAAGAGAGATCTGCTTCTCATTTGCCAGTGGGTAGCCCATGGTTACAAGCAGCCGCCGCTGTCTCTGGGATGCCAGCCGGGCTCTGCGATTGGCGGAAAGGACCAGCCAGGCTCTCCATCTTGCTGATGGGCCACCCGTTGCCTTGGCAACAGCAGCATCCAGATCTTCCTGAAAGACGCAAGGGAGGGAGAAACATCTCGCCCTTCTGCAGCCCACCCAGCAAGCCCTGGCGACTGCAACGACGTTTCGCCCAATCAAGGGCCAGGCAAACGAGCACGAGTCAAGATCCCCAGGGGTGGCACAGGGAACAACCAGGGCTCTGTAGCATCGCAAGGCATCTCCTGGTGAACGCTCAGATCAGGAAATATGAAACAGCTGGGAGGTGGGAGCCGGGGCAGATGGACGAAACACGCTGGACCAGTAAGGCTAGAGGAGGTTTTTGTGTGGGCCCGTTTGCCTCTCTGTGGCAGGGCTTAAATGAGTTGGGGCTTGTTGCTCAGAGCACATCTAAGCACACTCAGGGGGCTTTCCCCCTTGTTCGCACACCAGCCACCACACCATCCAGAATTAGCGACAGATTTAAAACCAACTCTTGGTTAATGTGCCTGAGGTGCATCCATAGGTAACTAAGGGTGGCAGAACCAGCCATGGTGTGCACCACAGGAAAGAGACTTGCAGATGGCTCAGGCAAGAATCAGGCCACATAGTACAAGCTGGTAAGGAGGGATTAGAACCTGCACAGGGACAGCTGCCCTTTCACCTTTTGAGACTTCTCTGCCTTTTGGAGCCAAAGCTAATTTCTTTTGAGGAATTTGAATTTGCTAATGATTTTAAAGAACCATCTGGACTCTATTTTAGGAACAATCCTATGGTTGAAATAGGAGTTGAAACCTCAAAGCTAAAAATGGAGATGGAGAAGAAAGCTCTTTTGCACAGCTAAGACCCAGTCCTGGAGAACAGCAGGAATTGTGTCCTGCAGATAAAAGGCAAAATTGGAAATGCAGCAGCCTGCTAGGTTGCAAAATATTTATTCAGGGAGAGTTCATTAACATTCTCAACACCTCCTTTGTTGTGGCCGCTGCTGCTGCTGTTTCCGTGCCTTGTGATGCTTTGTCCTCTAATGATCCCACCACCTCCCTGGCTGGCTCTCTGTGTCAGCCAGGCTGTGAGGGTGCTTCTTCCCTCTCAGCAGCCCACCAATGAGAGTTCCCTGAATTTGGCTGGGCAGCTTATGCAGGGTCCTTCTTGAGCACAAACCGAAGCCAGGTTTCCAGCGCAAGGGCTCCCTCTGCAGCACCATTTAGAAAAGGCAACCTGGCACTTGAAAACAAAGGAGAATTTGACCTAAGTGTGGAGCTGTGCTGGAAACTGTGCGTGTGTGTGTTTGTGGGGAGGGGTCCTTCCCCCTCCTGTCCTTCTCTCCTTCCTGGCTTCAACTTTTGAAGAAATTATAGGAGTGGTAAACAAGGCAACTGCTCTGTTCTTTCCAGCTCCTTTGAAAACTTGCCCATTATGCCAAACTTGCTGAATCACCCCTCCTGCACCATCATCAGCCACAATGTTTACCCATGTAATCGTAATTACTCAAAACTCACCCTTTCTGATCCTGTTCCCCAACTTGACATTCTAAATAATTCTTCAGGAATAGCTGAGGTTTGCATTCTTTCCCTGATCACAGTGGAAATGCTGGCATGTTCACAGTTAGACAACCTGCAGCCTAATTTTATACAGACAGGAGGAAACCCAGAGGAGGAGGAAGGGTGGGAAAACAAAGATGGCAGAGGGTAAGGCCCACTGTAAACCATCAGTTCAGGAAAAGAAAACAGCTGGGAAAAGTCAAAATGGCTGGGGCAGAGCAAAGGAAGACAATGAAATGTTCCAGAAGTGACCAGTTCAGACTTCTGACAAGAGCATCTGACCCTCCTCAAGCAGTCAGCTGGACGAGGAGGAAGAGGAGTGTATAAGAGAAAGGGCAGGGAGAAAGAAAAAGAAGTGGCCTCATTCTCTTTTAGTTCTTTCCCAGTCCATCTTCCCACCCCATGCCCACCATGCAGCCCCTGACAGACAAAAAACATACCCCCTCAGGGGCAGGCAGAAACAGTTCTCTCATCCATGAATCATATTCATCCCAAACAACACCCGCCCACAAACACCACACAGTCGAAGACAAAAGATTTATACGCAATACTTCAAAGGGCCAAAAGACAATTCCATTCTCATTCCTGGTGCCTTTATGCATCAAAATAAAGTTCATACACATTATCTGCCAGTCTGGACATACGGGCCACACCATCCTCCCCCCTTTGCATCCCAGACTACAAGACCTGAGAAAGTGCTAGTGCAGCCTGCCCTTGTGGGTGGCCATTTGCTTCCCGCAGCTGTGCCGACCACACTCCAAATCTTTCCGAAGGTCTGTGTTTTGCCTTCTGTGCTACTGAGAACCAGAGAGAAAGCTTGTGGGGCAGTGAAGAGCCCCATAAGTCTGCGATCCCTAGAAGGTCAGAATGGCCTTTCCTGAGAGAAATCTCCTACCCTGCAAGTCCAGCTGCTGTCAAGTGCCCTTCAGAGAAAAGAGAGAGTGGCTTGTCAGCACTGCTTGTTGGTGAGGGGGAGGCTTCCCATGGGCCGAGTGCCAGTTGGGTGACAAGCCAGCGTCTGTTCCTCTCGCTCACTTCAAGCTAAACATTAGGATCACAATTGTAAGGAGGATGAGGGATCCTACGAAGTCCTCAGTCAGCCACCGCTTATGTGTCTCCTCCTTGTCCTTCTCTCTGTTTTGCCGCCTCTCCCGGAGGATGCGCTCCCGCTGCAGCTGTTCACCGTAGTGGGCCCGGTAGAACTGATCGAAGTCGAAGATGGGATGGCCGGGTGGGCGGCCCGCGGTGAACGCCTGGGTCCTCCGCGACGCGGCTCCGGCCGCCCCTGCTGGGGCCGCAGCCCCCTCCTTACCGGAGGGCTTCCTGGCAGTGCGCAGGTCCTCCCGGGAGAGGAGGCCGCGGTCATACTTCTTGCGCAGGCCCACGCTGCCCAGCACCAGGTAGGCCTCGTTGATGCGAGTGAACCGCTCGGCCGCCTCCTCGCTGCCGGAGTTGCGGTCCGGGTGGTAGAGGAAGGACTGCTTGTAGTAGGCCGTCTTAATCTGGACCTGCGTGGCGCCCGACGACACACCCAGCAGCTCGTAGAGGCCCCGCGGCGAGTCCCGGCGGCCGCCGCCTTCACCCGCCGCGCCGCCCTGGCCGGGGCCTGCGCGCCCTCGAGCGCCCAAGGGCAGCGCCGCCCCAGGGCTGGCGCAGCCTGCACAGAGCGCCGGGAGCAGCGCCGCGCCCCTCGGGCCAGCCAGAGACATGGGCGGCGGCCCGGCGGCCCCTCAGCGGCCCGCGGCGGCGGCTGCAGCCACCCGCGCCCTGACCTCCGCCATCTTCGGCTCCCGCAGCGCCCAGCTGCCGGCCGGCGAACCGCCTTCCTGCAAGCAGCCAATGGGAGTGCGCTTTCGGGCAGGAAGGAGGCGGGGCCTAGGCGGCGGTTGGCGCACGCCTGATGGACCTGAGGCTTAGCCAGTGGCACGAGAGCGTCAGGGGGGGGGGCGTCGCGAGTTTTGGTGACGTCAAACGGAGGTGCGTTGGAACGGCGCGCGCCGCGGCCAAGCGGAGGCAATGCCCGCAAGGGCGCCGTCCCGCTGCAGTGACGCTCAGGCACCCGATTGGCGAGCTCTGCGGGCGGGTCCCCGACGCTGGCCAATGGGAGAGCGTAGTGGTGGGCGCCGTCCGGGAAAGGGGTCAGGAGCTGGATGCGTGGCCGCCCTCCGCGCGGAGGCAGGAAGTCGAGCCGCCGCCCAGGGGCGGCCCTGCAGGGCTGCTCGGCTCTTACCCTGGCCGTCCTTCACCGCGGGGCCCGTGTGCCTGGGGATGATGGGAGCGGGGTCTCCACGGGCTGCCCGTCTCGCCACCGCAGGGGCTCGAATGGCGGGCGGGAAAGGGCCCCGCGGTGTCGTCCGCCGCGATGCTCCAGGGTTTGTGCCCGGCGAGGTCCAAACGGAGGGGGCGGCCCGTCTGCTCGTGGAGCGATCCGCAGGGCTCCGGGTTCCGCGCTCCCACCGGCCTGCGCGGGCCGCGGCGCCGAGTGACACCCAGCCTCGGCCCTGCTCCGCGGGCACTTTCTAGATCGCGCACCTCAAGCCTCCGGAGGGAAGATGGGAGGCAGGGGATGCCGGAGCACAGTGCAGGGCTCTTGTACAGGAATGCTCCTCGGCCCAGCTTGTGACGGTACTTCTGTCACACCTGGGACCCTTTTTATTATTGGCTAGAGCAACGGGACCTGGTTTAGATTTAAATGTTTTTAAGCTATCGTAAATGGACTTAAATACGACTATGGAATGTTAAAAAATAGGAGAGGGGGGCTGACCCAGTACGTCTGATGTATTTGATGATTTATGTTTTTTAGTGCTAGTTTAAAATTCTAATAAAAACTTATTACAAAAAAAATCCAGGTTATGACGGTGTTTACATGTTTTGACAAAATTGTGAAGGAGAAGTGGGAACAAAGAAGTTACTGAATTTTGTGTTCACAGTTGGGAATGATTTTACTGTTTCCATTTTTTCCTAATTGCTCAGTTTATATTTGAATGTTAAGCATGTTAAGTCAAAAGCTTATTTTTGGGTTCAGTTTGTTCATCTGCCGTACTGTATGTGGTTCAAAAATTAGAAAACTGACTTCTCCATTTTCAAATGTGGTATTACTTTTGTATGCGGTATGAACATAAATCAAGCATTTTCTAGGGTCATGTGGCATAGAAAGGTTGGGAATTACTGTTATAGTGGAAAGTTGTCACAACAAGTCTCAGCTTTAGATGTGCCTCCAACATACCATGTTGCGCAGTAGGCTGCAGTGCAGGACTGTTGCTGCTTCCCCCCCCCCCCCCTTTCCCTTCCTGCCAGGCACACTCATGAGGGAGAGCATGGGCCTCTTAAGCTGGCAGGACAAAGGAATACAAATGTTCCACCTGGATTTCTGGAGAGAAGCTACTAAAATAAAGAAGGCAGATACTGTCAGATGTGAAGTTTCTTCATTGAATTCTGATGCTGGCCCACAGAACAGAGGATAAGGGGGCTTTTGGAATCCAGACCACAGAAAAGGCGGGACAGGGACAGGGAGTTTTGTTAACATCGAGGTAGATTATGTCCACAGAGTTCCCTCCACCCATTTGGAAGTTACCCAGGTGGAGCTCAAAATGGTTTGGGACCACCACTGTAGAGAGGAGAAAGGGCTACTGGTCTGGTGAACTGCTTGAAAGCAAGCTGTGCAAAAGCCTTCCCCAGCCTGGTACCTTTCTGGCTGGGGACGTGGGGACTGCAGCTGCTGCGCGTGGTGGACACCAGGACTGGGAGAGCGCCTCTTCCGGCACAGCGGTGCATCTTCGCCCACCAGCTTCCCCGTCCACAACGTGGCTCTTCAGGGACAGCCATCCTGATTGTTCCACTGTTGGAACAAGGCAAAAGGGTGTGTTGTTCTGCATGGGACACCCTTTCGCCATCAAGTCCACCTTCTGTCTCCTGTCCAATGTTCAGACACAGGCTCAGGGAGACCAGGTTGCCCATAGAGTGCAGAGGGGGTTGGTGAAGTAGGCAAAGGGAGACGATCCAGCTCAGGGCAAAATCCTTCACTGCTACACAGGCGTGGCTTGGGCAGGGTGGGGCAAGAGGGCGGGCAGGACGTGGCCCATGGATCTTGCGCTGGGGTTGCGGGAGAGTCTGGAGGGAAGCGGCAGAGGCAGAAGGCATCTGGTGCTGAGAAGGGGCCGCTTCTTCGTCCAGCGGGCCCCAGGTGTCCGGGCAGCTCCGTCCCCCGAGGCTAGGAGGAGCCACTGTTGGGGGCAGCCCCCGTCACCGCCTGGGTGGCCTGTTCTGGGACATCTGCCGGATTGGTCAGGATCGAGGTGGAAATGCTCAGCTGGCGAAGAGAGCTCAGGACAGCTAGGGAAGCAAAAGAGGATGGGAGAGAGTCTAAAAAGCAGCCTCTTGGGCACGGGGCACGGAGGTGGGTCTTGCTAACTTCCCGAAAGAAACAGCCTTGCCCGGGTGGCACAGAGACCAGGCGTCTCATTCACAGGCTAGAAGGAACAAAACTCTCCCAGTCTGGAGAGATCTGGCTGCCTGCGTTGAGCAGCATGTTCTGGGCCCTTCCTCTGGCATGGTCCTGCTGGGTCTTACGCAACAGCACTGAACCTCCGTCCTGCAAATCAAATCCAGCTCATGGGGGTCCCTCCCGGGCCTTCTGCGGTTTGCCACATGGCCACTCCTGCTTCCTCTCATCCCCCCTTTCCCCCCAAATGCTGTTTGTTCAGTGGTCTCCAGGTATCTGGGCAGGTTTTTCCCCAATCCGAAAAGCTGAAGTAACTCCCCTGAGGCTAAGTTACTTTTCACCCTCACTCCGTCTGCCTTCCACCCAGCCCACCTCCAGAATGTGGCCTCCCAGACCTTCCCAAAAATGGAACTTGGCCCTCCGGTGGGAAGCAGCACTCTGTTTCAAAGGGGTGACCAAGGAGGGATCCACTCAGGTGGGCTGAGGTCAGAAGCATCTCTCCAGGCACCTTTGGCCCACCCACCTTGGGATGCAGCCCCCGAGAGCTTCTCCAAAGCTGACTGGCCGTGGGTTGGAAGAGGGTCTGCCCCCTGCAGTCCACCTGAGCCCAAGATGCACATGGTGGGCCTGTTGTGAGCGGAGCCGGCTGGTGCCGGAGGTCAGACTAGATGACCCGGGAGACCCCTTCTGACTCGCTCTGTGTTTCTAAGATTTCCTCGCTGTGCTGGAGGCAAGGAGGGTCCCGGGCAAGTCCTCCCACAGTGCTGCTAGGGGTGAAAGGAGCAGGCCAACTACTCACCGGGCCGAAGTGCCGGGAGCGAGCAGCATTGATCCAGCCAGGCCAGGGATGTCTCACCGAAGCTCTCCAGGCTGGCGGTGGACACCATCCCGTTGAAGGACTCAAAGAGGGGCCGCATGAGGATGCTGAACTGGTGGGGTGGGGCGGTTAAGGGCCAACACCACGCTGCATGGCTGGGGGGCACGCTTAGGCCCCGAGGCGCCCCCACCAGCCTCTGTCCTGGCTGCCGTTCCGGCTTCCATGCGGAAACAGCGCCGCCTCCCGTGCCCACAAGGGCCGTGAGCACAAGGAGCGGTGGACTCTGCCCAGTCCACGAGGAGGCGCACAAGGCACGCCCCTGCCCGCTTCTCCGGAAAGGATACCACCCAGAACTTCCAATTCTGCAAGGTGCATGAGCGCACGTACTTGTCGAACATGTCCCGCATCTGGTCGAAGCGCTGCCGTGTGATGGGGACCCCCGTGGCCGGCAGCTGCTGCTGGCACAGGCTGGGCGAGGGAGACAGCCGACGCACGGGGCTGAGCAGGGCCGGGGGGGTCACCTGGCCCCGGCAAGGCCCCTCACGCCCCGAGCTCCCCTGCAGGCTAGGCCCTTTTCTCCAGGCTCCGTCAGCCCCTGGTCATTCATGGTGGCCCGGCTTTTGAGCAGGACTTTTCCTGACCTTTCCCCGCATCCCAAAGTGGCAGAAGTGCCTCCAAAATGGAGCAGATGGACAGCGGAGGCTTTCAGGACACGACGGGCATGTCCTGAGTGGAGCCGGCTGGGGCCAAGGGGAAGGCCGGGAGGCCCCCTCTGGCTCCCGTTTCTCTGTTTCCAATTCTAGGCACATTTGGACAGAAGAAAGGCTGGGCCATGATGGGAGTTGCAGTCCTTTCCTCTGTCCGAGCTGGCAACAGATTGTGGTCTTTTTCCGTGTGTTGGCTCCCCACTTGCCTTTGCCCCCCCCCACCCCTGAAATGCTCCCCAATGTGGGCTTTTCTCCAAAATAGGATCTGCCCCTCAGATTCCATTCTGCACCCCGTGATCTCCCCGAGGCTTTGCCCAGGGCCAGCTCCGCCTTGCCGGACCCAACGGGTGGCCCTCCAGCCTGGGGGGGGGGGGCCCCGGGGGGGGGGGGGGCCCGGGCCCCGGGGGAACCCCCCCTGCGGGGCCCCCCCCCCCCCCCGCAGTGCCCGGCCAGCACCCGCTTCTCTGCCGTGCCAGGGCCAGCTGCTTCCTCGGTCGCCTCCCTCCCCTCGCCACCTTCCCCACCAGGGCCGCTCCCCAAAAGCCTTGGGCCACTGCGCCCCCCAGCCGTCCCCCTCCTCTCCCGTGGGCCTGGCCCTACTTGATGGCGGCGTTTAGCTCCTCGATCTGGTCCCGCAGGCGCTGGGCCTCTTCCTGCAGGGCGGCCCGCTCCTGCTGCAGCTTGCAGATGTATTCGGACGTTTTCTGCAGCGTGGTGGCCTTGCTCACCTGTGTGGCGGAGCGCGGGAGGATGAGGCCAGGCCAGGCCGGAGGCCACCCTGGGCGGCCAGGGGCCCTGCTCTGCAGAGGACAGTCCTCTGCTTGGGAGAGTGGGCAGGAGGGACAGTAATTTTAAGGTCTCCTGGTCCACAGGCTCAGCCCGGTGTAAAGGATCCCAGGGGAGCCCGGTGTCCCACATGATGGAGGACAGTCCTCCGTTTTGCAGGACTGGCGGAGGACTATCCTCGACTGGAAGGTGTAGCTGTGCGGAGGGCTGTCCAATCCAAGCCTGGTTTAAAAAGCAGGCGCTATAGAGTGGCCGGGTGTCCTCTTTCACACAGGTCTGTCCTCAGTCTTGCGGGGCATGCAGAGGCCTGTCCTTGGCGTGACGTCGTCCCCACTCTGAGCACCCCGTCCAGCCTCAGACCGTCAGGCGGGGGAGCTGAGGGGCCAGGAAGGGGCTCACCCGGTCCCTGCAGGGAGCCGCACTGCACTCCGGCGGCAGTTGCAGCCACGGCTGCCCAGCCAGTCCTGGGCGCAGGCAGGTGCCGCGCGCATAGCAATCCTCCCTTGGACGACGCCCAGGCCGCCACCTCAGGCATGGTGGACTGCGGCTCCTCCGTGCCCCAGGCAGAACAGCCGGGGGGCACTTTCTGCCTCCCTGCCGGGGCCTGGTCCCATCCGGGGCTGCAGGAGCTGCCCCAGGCCCCCCCCGCCCACAATGCAACTCACCTTGAGGCTGGGCTGGGAGCTCAAGGTGCTCACCAGGCTGTGCAGGGTGTCGAAGCCCAGCTTGATGTTGAAGCGGCGCTTCTGCTCAGCCGAGATGTGTGTGATGCGCCGGCTCTCCACCTGCCAGAGGGAAGGCCTCCAGTGGGCGCGCCCACGGGTGGCCCGGAGGCACTGGAGCCACGGGAGACCCCAGAGGCCAGTGGCGCAAGAGCCGGGGGCCCTGCCCCAGGTGAGCTCCAGCTGCGGGGCCGCAAGTGCCCGCTGTTTCAGCGCATCAGGGGGCAGGAGCCACCTCAAACCGTGGCTGGACAAGTGGCGGGTGCGGGGGGAGAAGCACCGGCCGTGCTTCCCAGCGCAAGCCGCGTGCAAAGCGGGGCCCCGGAGGAGCGCCGAGTCCCGCAGGGCGCCTTGCTGTGCTAGCGCTCGCTCGTGGACGTGCCGCTAGCGAGGCGGGGGGGCTCCTGCCCCCGGCGGGCCTCCTGGAGCACCCTGGCTGCCCACTGCAGGGGAGTGATGGGGCCTGTGGGCCTGGGCCTGGCCGCGCACCCCCCTCTGGCTCCTTTGACAGACCCAGAGCCCTTCAGCTGGCTCCAGTTCCCATTATCCCTGACCATGCTGGCAGGGCTCATGGAAGCTGGTGTCCAGCCGTCCTCCTGGGGCAGCACAGGCTGCAAGGGGGCTGGCTGTGAGTCGGGGGAGGCTGGCAGTGCTCCCCTCTGGCCCCGACGGCCCCCACTGATGCCACCTCTCGCGCGCTGCCCCAATGACTGAGGCTTGCGGCGCCCGGGGCGTGCAGGGCGGGCTGGACTCTTCCACACCCGAGGCCCACACTGACTTCCGGAGAAGCTCTCAGGCAGCCCTCTGGCGGCGAGGGGGCAGAGGCGAAAGACCCCTGGCCGCAGTGCCTGTGGTTGCGGCTCACAGACCTCGCCAAGGGGTGCTGCTTCCTCCTTCACAAAATTAGGGGGGCTGCGCAAGGGCCGGAAAGCAGTCGGGGAGTCCCAGGGGCTGCCGGGGGCTCGCCTGCGGTTCCACACACTGGCACAGAGAACGGGCAGGAGGACCAGGAGGGGGGCAAGTGAGAATGACGGGGCCGAGTCGCCCGTCCTCAGTCTGTGCCGGACGGCCACCCCCGTCACTGCGGGTGAGGCAGGGTGCAGCACGCCAGGCTGCCCCTCTGTTCCGGTGGCACGTGGGTGCGGGGGGCCCCTCTCGTGACGGGGAAGCCGAAGGACGGGCTCCCGCAAAGCCTCCCCTGCCCTACCTTGCTGGGCTCGGTCCTGCTCCGGCCACATGCAAAGTGAGAGGTGGAAACCGGGCCCTCGAGGGAGCCAGTCGTCTGCCAGCTCCTGGCTGCTGGACAGAAAGGCAGGTGTCGCTGTGCTGCTCGCTGCAGCCAAGCATGGGCAGAGCGCCGCTTTCCCTGCGGGGCCTGCTGTGGACAGGCTGGCCGGCCCCTCCCGTGGGGGCACCCACCGCCCCATCCCCGCGTAAGGGAGGGGCTGCCGGGCGGGGGAGGCTCACCGCAGGCTGGGGTGGGCGAGAGCCGTTCCGCCTTGGGCACGAGCAGGGCCGGTGGGGAGGCTGGGAGGCGCTGTGGGGGGCTGGAGACGGGCGAGAGCCGAGGGCTTGGCTGAGACACGCGCGGCACGAACCTGCTGGACTCTGCAAAAAAGGCGTTTGGCTGCGGGGAAGGAAGCAGGGAGGGAAGGTCAGCGCACGCGGGTTGTGGCAGGGGGGCCAGGGGACCTCCTGCCTCGGGTGCTGCGGCGGCTGCCGCGCGACTGTCCCCAAAGGGCGGGGAGCCTGCTGGGGCCTGCTCAGCGGGGGTCCCATGCCCGGGCAGTGGGGCAGCCTTCCACACAGGCCGGGTCCTGGCAAGCGCCCGCGCAGTCCCCCTGCCACTTGCCTCTTCCCCTCCTGTCACTACCGCGAGCCACATGGGCTGGGGCTCATGGGATCTGCAGTCCAACACTTTGGGAAGGCCCCCGGTCGCCTGCCCTGCCTCCACTTCCGCTTCAGCTCCCAGCCCCACAGCCACAGGGTGGGAGGTTGCTCTTTGGCCAGCCTTGAGCTCTGCCCCAGGAAGGCGGGGCTGGGCAGCAGCCGTGGGCCCACGCCCCACAGGGCCCCACAGGGCCCCGCAGGAGCTGCCTGGGCCAGGCCCGCAGTGTGACCTGGGTCTCCAGAGGCCTGCACCGTGAGCCCCTGCAGCTTTCCTCTGCTGAGGGATGGGTGCCCCACAGCTCACCCCTTTCAGCAGGGCCCCCCAGATCTCTGGGGACGAGAGGGGCTGTTGTAGCGGAGGAAGCAAGGCCACCACATGCCGAGAGCTTGCACCCATCTGGGGCCCACCCCTGCCCCGTTGCAGCCTGCATGCTCGCCAGCTGCCTCTCGCGCTGGTCTGGGGAACCTGCTCGTGAGAAGGCGTGCAGGGGAGGCCCGCTTCTCGGCCTGCCCAGCGAGTCCGCGGGAGCCGCAGTGAGGACGGGGGAGGGGGAGGGGGAGAGGGGGGGCAAGGGCAGCAGCGGGGGAGAACCACCGGGGGAGGGGGGCACCTCACCCAACGGCCCTCCCAAAGCTGGGGCCGGCAGTGCACGCAGCAGGGCCCCGGAAGCAGGGGAGGTGCCTCTGCCGGAACGAGCGCCTCCGCCGGCCAGCCGAGCTGCCGCATGCCGGGCCGGCGTGGCGGTCCCGGGGCTGTGCCCCCCATCCTACCAAGGCACTGCTCAGGGGATGCAGGCCCAGGTGGACTCGGGGCCTGGCTCGGCGTGGCCACTCCGCCCATCCGGCAGGATCCCCTTCCAAGGAGGGCCCCGGACGGACGGGCCCCAGACGCAAAGGGCTTCCCAGCCCACCTCCACGGCTGACGCCCCTGGGTTTTCCAGCCCCCCTGAACCTCCCCGCCGCAGGGTGGGTGGGGAACAGCCTGTCCCCAGTGGCTCTGGGAGCTCTCCTGCCCAGACGCTGAAGAGGAAAGCAGCTGCCCCCCCCCCCCCCAAAGCCCCCCACCAGGGATTCCAGGAAGGCCGGGAGCGGCGCTGGGCTGGGTGCAGGTTCGGCCTCTGGGCTGGGCTCCGCTTTGGCTGCCGAAAAGAGTTTAAAAGGGGAGACCAGAGAAGGAACGGGAAGGAAAAGAAGAGAGCAAAGACGGGGTGGAGGAGAAATAGGAAGGCAGCAGGGGAGAGGCTGCCTCCTCTCTTTCTTTCTCATAAGTTTTAACTTTTGTGGTTTGCATTCTGTGTGCACTGAACAGCTGTTCGTAGTCTTGCGCACCTAGTCCTGCAGGTGCAGCCCCGTGCACGTGTGGACAGAAAGGGCTTTTCTGCCGAGATGAGATGATCGTGCCCTTCAGACACGATCTGGGGCGCCTGCTCTCCGTGCAGGGAAGCCTTTGAACGGGGGGCTCCAGTGCATCCAGCGGGCCCGCAGATGCCCCATTGCTCCGACCACACCTTTTCTCTGGAGGGCTCTACCCGCTGCTGAGGGCGGGTGGCAGAGGCCGACCGGCCCTTTGGGATTCAGTGCATGCATGGAGAGGGCAGCGCGGCCTAGCTCCTCCCCTGCCTCCCCTCCCCTCCCCTCCCCGGGGCATTTCCACTCATAGCCCCAGACAGTCAAAAGGCCCTTGGTGGTTTCGTTACATTAATTAGTTCTTATTAAGTAGGTAATGCAATGTTAATTGCTAATGCGGGATAATAAAGATAACAGCAGTGTAACTGCACGGCTGCCAGTCGGTTGCTGCCCCCCCCCAGCCCCCCGCGCCCCCCAGTGCACCTGCCAGAAGAGGCCCACCGGTGCCTTACCTGGGGTCAGCCGCTGTGCCAGGCACGGGTTCGGGTGGGCTCCGTGCAGGGAGGCCATGCTCCTGGGGGCCCTCTTGCTGCTGACCCCCTTGGCCCGGATCGGTCCAGCAGTGCCCGCCGGGGGCAGCGTGGGGGCACTGAAGTGGGGGGGGTACCCTGGGGGCCGGGCCATGCTGTAGCCGGGCAAGTCCTGGGGAAAGCACGGTGTGGGGGGCGCGGGGCAGAGGAGCGGGGCGTGGTGCAGCCTGGGCCGGGGCGCAGGAGCCGAGGGGCAGGCTGGATCCGGGCCCGGCGGGGGGGCATAAGGCCCGCAGTGGTCCAGGCTGGGGCAGGAGTGGGGCAGGAGGGCCTTCTGCTTGCCCTCCAGTCCTGGGGCAGCTGGGGCCACGGGGGCAGCAGGGAGGCCGGGGCTGAGGAAGGAGCCGGGCGAGTGGAGTGCGGTGGAGCCACCTCCTGCGGGCTGGGAGAGAGAGAAAGGCAGGAAGTGGCTTCAGTCGGGGCGCTGCCTTGGCTGCTTTCACCGCAGAGCATGCTCTCCGCGCCCCCTTCCTTCCCACCCAGGAATTCAGCCCATGGGCCCAGGCAGGCCCCTGCCCCGCCGCAAAGCCCAGCCGTGGGGCGAGCCACGGCAAGGCGGCCCCAGGGGCGCACCTGGAGACGAGGGCCGGACAAGCCGGGAGAGACGGGTGGGCCTGGCGGGAGCAGGCCATCCTCAGGGCTGGGGAGGAGGGTCCCGTCGCTGCTCCCAAAGAGGGTCTCCGGCCCGGGCCCGAAGCAGGGCGGGTCCTGGTAGCTCAGGGGCGCCTGTGCGGGCAGCGGCCGAGGGCTGGAGAAGAAATCTAGGCAGCAAGGGAGGCGATGAATGCAAGTTGCAGGCCGAAGCTTCCAGCGCAGATCAGTGCTGCTGAGCAAGAGCGTGGCCGCTGCCACGGACTCGAACTCGGGCCCGTGCGCCACAGCCCAGCCCTCTCAAGTGGCCACCCGCCACCCCCCTGCCTCCCCGCTGCCGCCCCCAGCAGCCGGCTGTGTCTCTCGGCGCTCGCACTTTTCAGAGGGCTGCCGCCTTTCTGGAGTCGCGCCGGTCGCCTCCGTGGCTCCCACCCGGCTGCTTCCTCATCCTTGTTGGGTGCAGCACAGAAGAGCCTCTGCCGTCCCTTCTCCCCAGAGGCCCCCTGCTATCCCTGGGCCTTCCGATCCCGCAGCCTCAGACAGCTACCCCTTTGGCTCAGAGAGCACTTTTGGAATCCTGGCACCCGGCCATGGGCGCTCTCACAAAATGGCCGCCACCAGGAGAGCAGCGATGCCTGCCCATCCTTAAAATGCTTGCCTCGGCTGTCGCGAGGCACTGATTTCCTGGAAGGCAGAGCCCCCCACCCGAGAAGCCCGAGGCGGAGCTGGCGTGCAGTGCACCCAAAGCATGATTTTGCCAGGCAGGTCCGGCAGCCCTGGTGGATGCTGCCAGCCAGCGGCACATTTGCTCTGCCTTTGGCAATGTCTGTGCCAGCTTTTTCTGTCGACCCGCACAGCTGCACAGACACAGAAAGCCTCAGAGAACCACAGGCTGCCTCTGCCGGCTGCAACCGATTCGGTTCCACTTCTGTAAGAAAGTGCACGATTACGTTTTCAGCGTCTTACCATTTTGTTCTGTTAAAAATCACAGCAAAAGGATGGAAACCAGAGGAAAGAAAATGAGCGCAGGGACGTGAGCTGCAGGAGCAGCCGGAGCACGGTGGGCGCCAAGCAAGGCGTCTGTGGGCACGGGGGGGGGGAGGCCCGGCTCTGCGTGGGGGTGGCATGGGGGCACCAGCTTCTTCCCCACCCTCGAAGGAGGCGCCGCAGTCCCACCTGGCCAGGGCCGGTCTGCGCCAGCCACGGCCTTGAACCGCAGCAGCGACTGCGAAACGGGGCCTTCTGCCCTTGCGGAGGCCAGCTCGCCCCCCCCCCCGAGGGCTGGGCCGCCACCGTCCAGACCCCAACCGCAGCCGGGGCGAGAGGCTCCTTCTGGGGGCCACGGGCACAAAGTTTGCAGTGCAGGAACGCCCGGCCCTATGGCGCACTCCCCTCTGTGTGGCCCACCGCCCTGCACAGATGCCCCCCCCCGAAAAGCACAGGCTGGGGCCCAAACCTACCTATGGGAAGGGACACCCCCTGCAGAGGAGGAGGAGGCAGGTGGCCAGCTGCGGGGGGGGGGCAGCTGCTCCCCAAAACAGCCCAAGGGCAGCAGGGAGGGAAGGCAGCTACGGACTGGACCGCGAGGAAGGCGAGAGGCCAGGCGGCCCCTCTCTCCTCCTGCGGTGACCACAACCGGCACATCTCCCCAGGCCTTCCCGAGGAGGGCTGCTTGGCACGTCCAGGCACCTGCCGGGGCCCCACGCCAGCAAGGGCTCGCGGACCGAGGCCCCAGAGAACTCCTCCACTTTGCCTGCCCCCTCCCCACTGCGTCCCCTGGCTGTGACAAAGGTGGGGGGGAGGAGGAGGAGGAGGAGGAGGAG